CGGGAACCTGCGGCCCGGCTACCGCGACCGCATCCGCATCCTGGAGAACGGGTCGCTGCTCATCAGCCCGCTGCAGCTCGCCGACGAGGGCACCTACGAGGTGGAGGTGTCCATCACGGATGACACGTTCACCGGGGAGAAGACCATCAACCTCACGGTGGACAGTGAGCGCGGGATGCGATGGGGGGAAGGAGGCGTTGGGATGCGATGGGAAGAGCTGGGATGGGGTTGGAGAGAGGGATGCAGCAGGGAGGGTCAGGATAGGGATGGAAAGAGGCATTGGGATGCGATGGGAAGAGCTGGGATGGGGTTGGAGAGAGGGATGCAACAAGGAGGGTCAGGGTAGGGTTGGAAAGAGGCGTTGGGATGCGATGGGAAGAGCTGGGATTGGGTTGGAGAGAGGGATGCAATGAGGAGGGTCAGGATAGGGTCGGAAGGAGGCATTGGGAAGAGCTGGGATGGGATTGGAGAGAGGGATGCGATGGGAAGAGCTGGGATGGTGTTGGAGAGAGGGATGCAACGAGGAGGGTCAGGACAGGGCTGGAAGGAGGCGTTGGGATGTGATGGGAAGAGCTGGGATGGGGTTGGAGAGAGGGATGCAATGGGAAGAGCTGGGATAGAGTTGGAGAGAGGGATGCAATGAGGAGGGTCAGGATAGGGTCGGAAGGAGGCATTGGGAAGAGCTGGGATGGGATTGGAGAGAGGGATGCGATGGGAAGAGCTGGGATGGGGTTGGAGAGAGGGATGCAACAAGGAGGGTCAGGATTGGGTTGGAAGGAGGCATTGGGATGTGATGGGAAGAGTTGGGATAGGGTTGGAGAGATAGATACAATGAGGAGGGTCAGGATAGGGTTGGAAAGAGGCGTTGGGATGTGATGGGAAGAGATGGGATTGGGTTGGAGAGATAGATACAACGAGGAGGGTCAGGAGAGGGTTGGAAGGAGGTGTTGGATGTGATGGGAAGAGCTGGGATGGGGTTGGAGAGAGGGATGCAGCAGGGAGGGTCAGGATAGGGTTGGAAAGAGGTGTTGGGATGCAATGGGAAGAGCTGGGATGGGGCTGCAAGGAAGTGTCAGGAGGCAGAGGGCAGGGTTGGGATGGGATTGGGAGGAGGCATTGGGATGTGATGTGAAGGGTTGGGATGGGGCTGCAAGGAAGCGTCAGGAGGGTGGGGATGGGATGCTGAGGTGGCATTGGGATGCAATGGGAAGAGTTGGGATGCGATGGGAAGAGTTGGAATGGGGCCGCAAGGAAGCGTCAGGAGGGTCGGGATGGGATGGGGAGGCGGCGTCGGGACGCGATGGGAACAGCAGGGCCGCCCCCGCGGGGCGCCGCGCCGCCTGCCCGCAGTCCCCGTGTCGAAGCCGCACGTGGCCGTGGCCTCGTCGACGGTGCTGGAGCTGAGCGAGTTCGTGACGCTCAACTGCTCGCACGCCAACGGCACCAAGGCGCGCTACACGTGGCTCAAGGACGGGCGCCCGCTGGGCAACGACTCGCGCCTGCTGCTCTCGCCCGACCGCAAGGCGCTCACCATCACGCGCGTGCTCATGGCCGACGACGACGTCTACAGCTGCCTCGTGGAGAACCCCATCAGCCAGGGCCGCAGCGGGCCGCTCAAGCTCACCGTGTACCGTAAGCGCCGCGTCCCCGTGTCCCCGCGTGTCCCCACGTCCCCGTGTCCCCACAGCGCTCCCGTCCCCACGGCCCCTTCTCGCCCAGGTCGCAGCTCGCTCTATGTCATCCTCTCCACCGGGGGCATCTTCCTGCTGGTGACGCTGGTGACCGTGTGCGCCTGCTGGAAGCCCTCCAAGAAGTATGGGGCAGGGTGGGACTTGGGGGGCTGGGGGCGACGGGCGCGTGGGGAGCTCACGGGATGTCCCCGGCCGCGGGCAGGGGCAAGCGGGGAGCGGAGGCGCCCAGCGGCGGCGGCGACTTCGCTGAGCAGGACGAGGAGCAGCTCAAGCATGAGGGTGAGCCCGCAGCGTCCCCATAGCGTCCCCATAGCGTCCCGTATCTCCCCCATAGTGTCCCCATAGCATCCCCATAGTGTCCTCGTAGTGTCCCCATAGGGTCCCGTAGCTCCCTCATAGTGTCCCCATAGCATCCCCATAGCATCTCCACAGTGTCCCCATATGGTCCCCGTAGGGTCCCCATAACTCCCCCACAGTGCTCTCATAGTGTCCCCATAGTGTTCCTGTAGGTTCCCCATAGCTCTCCCATAGTGTCCCTGTAGTGCCCTCATAGTGCCCCTGTAGGCTCCCTATAGCCCCCAGCACCCCAAACCATCTCCCATAGCACCCATAGCACCCGGCAGCTTCCCCATAGCACCTCACAGCAGCCCTAGAGCACCCCATCACACCCTATAGCACCCCATAGGCTCCACACAGCACCCCAAATCCTTCCCATAGCCACCCCATAGCACCCCAAACCATCTCCCATAGCACCTGGCAGCTTCCCAATAGCACCTCACAGCAGCCCTAGAGCACCTCGTCACACCCTGTAGCACCCCATAGTCTCCCCATAGCACCCCCAATCCTCCCCATAGCCACCCCATAGCCC